GAAAATAAAAAACCCCCAAAAAAAAAAAAAAAAAAAAGAAATAACGAAAGTGCCCAGCATGTGTCCAGAGCACAGTGGGTGCTGGATAAATGGCAACTTCTAGCGATGGTCACAAAGCAGCGCAGCCTGATGGACAGAGCCCAGCCTGGGTGTGAGACGGGCTCTCCACTTGATTTCCTCATCTGTAAAATGGAGATGCTGATAGAACATACCTTGTAAGGTCTTCTGGGGGATCAAAGGAGACACCCCTAGCTAATACTGAGCATTCACTTCACCACACACTATTTTAAGTACTGCCCACATATGAACTCACTCAAACCTGTCAATAACGATGAAGTAGGTACCACGACTTTCCTCATCGCACGCCTGAGGAAACTGAGGCGCAAATGAAATGACTTCCCCAACGTCACTCAGACAATTCATGGTAGCACTGGTGCTTACCCCAGGCAGCTGCCTTGGAAGTCCACACACTTTACCATTACGCTAGGCCTCAAGGTTTCAACACAGTGCCTGGTCAAAGGGAGTCCCCAGTAAACATTAGCTAGTGTGACTGTGACATGATAATACATTTTTTAAAGAACATGCTTCGGCAGCTGTATTGGGTTAAGGACTTTGACTAAATCCTTAATTCTACCTTTGGTGGAAAACAGAGGTCTTACACATCTTTGGATCCAAGAGTCCTTAGAGTATACTGCCCAGCATAGAATAAGCACTCACTAAGTGAGGTTGATGGGTGAATGAGCTTTTCAAATCGGTGGATGTACGGGTGTATAACATGGTAGCTTCTTAAGGGGAAGGCTTATGCTAACTGAGCTGCAGCTGGACCAGGCTGTGTGTGCCCTGCTTTGTCCCCAGTGCTTTGTTTCTTAGGTCACTAAAGGGCCATGCTTCTCAAACATTTTAATTGGTCTGCTGTCATTGCATAACCTCCATTCACTGGCTCCACTTCTCTCATCATCCAGTTCCAGACAACCACACCCAACCTCCCTCCATGCACACGCCCGACCCACTAGACACTAAGCTTTTCCACACATGTGGAAGTTTCCCTCTCTATCTTGTACAAGATCCATTCTTTGTCTGTCAGCCTTGCGCCTGCCTCCTGAATGACTCAGACTTCCCACTTCATCTGAACCTCCATGACTTTGTGTATCAAAGTTGGTAAACTCCTTGCTTCTTATCCCTGGGCAATAAAAGCATCCAACTCAAGACCGGGCTCTGCAGCTGCCAAGGAGGAGTAAGCTCAGGATTTCGTCAGCAGCAGCTCTTGCGAAGCTCTCTCCATAGGTGTTGACAGAAACCTCCTTGTGTCCTTGGACAGAGGCCTGGTGTCATAGTCTGTTCAGCATCTTGGGACTCCCTGGGATTCCTCCAGGGCTGTCACTTTTCTCCAAGAGCCCAGACACAGCAGAGCCCACACATGCCCACAGACTGCACCAAATGTCACACAGAATTCCTACACAAAAATCCTGAGTCCTCCATAAATACCCAGCTATGGGCACATCTGGCCTCCCTGGATTTGACTACATCCTGTGAATGAAAGCCTTACTTCACCTTTTTCTCCACCTAACTCAAATAATAAATTCCTGATAGTGACCCAAGTCAGGTATAGGGCTATGCATGCCAAGAGACTGAGAGCTGACCTAGGCATGGGGCAGGGCCAGGGTGAGGCCCAGGTGTAAGAGCTCAACCCTGAGTGAGGCAGGCTTCCTCCTGTTATCTCCACTGCATGACGCATTTCTAGGTCGCGCTTTAAGACTTCCTCCCCATCTCCTCCTGCTTGTTCCTCTTGCCACAGACAAACCAACTTCCATTTGCCTTCTTTCCTCATTATGTATTTTTTGGTTTTTCTTCTACTACCCTATCTGAAAAACCAACCTCCCATTCCCCTAACTTCCTGGCTTGAGTCAGGCCTCTAAACCCTCTGACCTGTGATAGCCCCAAATTCAAGGTCCCGTTACTTGGACTGCCATCTTGCTCCGGCCCCGTGACCCATACCGCAGCTCAGATGCACATTTCCCTTCTAGGTGCACATCTTCATTAAGTCCATTCTCCATGCTCAGAAAAGGCACTATCCATTTTTGAGTTTTCTAATTTCTTGGCCTCTCTTCTCGTTTCTATTTCAACCCTGGACAATCCCCAGCTAGGCTCTTAAGAATATGCTGTTTGGTGACCCGAGCTCAGAGGGAAAGGGCACCAGGTCCTGTGAGGTGTGATTTCCACTTGAGAACCGTTGTGTGAGTTAAGCCCAGTGTATGAAGCCTGAGGTTCATGATGAGACCTTTTTGGGAGAAAGGGCTTCCTCCCAATGTCCCTTGGCGAGAATGATATGAGACTGGGACAAGATGATTCAGAGGTTCTATGGGAGCTACTGTACTTCTGGTCTTCTCACCGGCCCTTTCTACCTCCTACCTGTGCACATGACGGCGGCAAAGACCCAGCACTGCCCGTAGCGCACTGGCTGGCAGCCCGTGGTGTGCCACTGCTTCAGGATGGCCACGCTGCCCGTCCACTCTGCGGGGTTGACGCCATCCATGAAATTCTCACTCCAGTTTCCATTGAGCACCCCGTTGTCATCATTGCTGTTGATCTGAAGAAAAGCCGTATATGGAAGCATTAGAAACATCTTTACATCGACGTGTGATGGATGTGCTGTCTTGGAAGGCCCAGGAGACTGAGACAGAGACCTTTGACCTCATTTTACCTGGGAACTTCTAGACCTGCTGGGGAAGGGGTAGAAGTGGGAGACCAGCTATTCTGACTTGTCTTCCACTGGTAATTCATTTTTGTTTTTTGTTTGTTTGTTTTGCCTTAAGGTTCAGGCACTTGTTGAAGAGAGACAGAAAGAGACAGTGAGAAGGAAAGTGAGAAATCACTCGCCAGGAGAATGGCCATGCCTCAATCCCTTCTCTACTGTTCTCCTCCTAGGATCTTGGGCATGCATGCACACATTCTCAGTGTTAATTTCAAGCCAAAAAGTCCAGGACTTGAATTGTGGTCGGCCATGTAGGAGTCCACTGCCTTAACTACCATACCACCTGCTGGCCCCATTAATAGTTTATTATTCTGTGTCTGTCTTTTTTCTTACCTTGTATACCCCTATCTCCTGCAAAGCAGAAACTTGGCTCTGAGAGCTTTTTAAAAACCTCGGTTAGCGTAATGGCTATGTCGCTGGACTCCCGCGTAGTCGACCGTGGTTCGTGTCCCGGACCAGGTGGCTTAAAACTCATGCTGGGCGCATGTGCGTGCGTGCCCAAGATCCCGAGAGGAGAATGGAGGAGAAGGGATGGTGGCATGGC